CCCAGCTACTCGGGAGGCCAAGGCAGTAGGATTGCTTGAGCCCAGGAGTTTGAGGTTGCTGTGAGCTAGGCTGACGCCACAGCACTCTAGCCCAGGCAACAAAGTGAGATCTGTCTCAAAAAAAAAAGAAAAAAGGTGGCAGGCAAGTCCTTCTGCCAGTTCAACAAAGCGAGGGCCTGGGAAAAAGAATTCTCCCTCTCATCCTCAGTTTGAATATTTGCACTCTTAGCTTGGAATGGCCTTTCTGCACTAGAGGAAAACTCTTCCTTTAGTGCGACCTCAGGGAACCCCGTCTCTGGAGCCTGGTGGCCTGCCGTCATCCTGGACCTGCTCACCGCCCTTCAGAGCACTGTAGCGTGTGGCCTCTCCTGAAAAGGCCTCCTCACACCTCCGTGAGCAGAGAGCACCTCTGGGCACACCTCAGTCTGTTGTGTCTGTTTCCCCACTAGACTGTGAGCACTGCTAAAGCTGGAAACTACTTTTATGCTTTAGATCACAGTGCCTCACGGAGTAGATGCCAAGTCGAATACTCAGTTTGTCCTTGCCATTGTTTTTCTGACACTGGAGATGGGCTTTCAGTGATCCCTCCACCCAGGCAGTGGCCCGTGGCTCAGTCAACAGTCCAAAGTAGCCCTCGAACAGAGGCTTCTCCGAGATGGAACTGTCCCTCTCTGGGAGTCTGATGTGAGTGGCTCTTAACACGTTCTAACTTCACTCACTCCATGACACAAAGCTAAGGATCGTCCCAGTAATGACATTTTATTGGGCTGCTTTAGCTTTTTCCTCCCTATTCTCTTTTCCCAACCCCAAGACAAACTGCCGAAGTTCTGGGTCAGTGTTGCCAACTCAAGTTTTCCTGAGGAAGCCCTGTCTTGCCTTTGCATGTTGTGATCCCCTCCCCGTACGTCTGTCTACCCACGCTCAGCTCTGGGCCTCTCTGTGCTCCTACTGTGTGCAGGAACCCAAGGCTCGTGCCAGTGGTTCTCCTAAAAAAGCAGCACTGAGCATGTGTGTCCCAGGTTTGAGTTTAGGAAATCTGCCTGGAGAGTGGTCAGCCTGGGTTCTGGGAGCTTTTCCTATTAGTGTTTTCTACAAGAATGGGTTGGCCTTTCTCTAAACATGGTAAACTTCTATGGGCTAGATCTTAAGACAGACCAAAAGTTCTCACTATGAGTTATCAGGGGGGCCTTTAAAATGTAAAGGCCATGGCCAGGCACCATGGCTCAAGCCTGTAATCTCAGCACTTTGGGAGGCCAGGATGGGAGAATTGCTTGAGGCCAGGAGTTTGAGACCAGCCTGGGCAGCATGGAGGTGCACATCTGTAGTCTTAGCTACTGGGGAGGCTGAGGTGGGAGGATCACTTGAGTCCAGGAGGGCAAGGCCGCAGCGAGCTTATGATGGCACCACTGTGCTCCAGCCTGGGTGACAGAGCAAGACTTCATCTCTAAAAGATAAATAAATAATAATTTTTTTAAAAAATATTCAATAAAGGCCGGGCACGGTGGCTCACGCCTGTAATCCTAGCACTCTGGGAGGCTGAGGCGGGCGGATTGTTTGAGCTCAGGACTTCGAAACCAGCCTGAGCAAGAGCGAGACCCTGTCTCTACTAAAAATAGAAAGAAAATTAATCGGACAACTAAAAATATATAGAAAAAAATTAGCCGGGCATGGTGGCGCATGCCTGTAGTCCCAGCTACTCGGGAGGCTGAGGCAGAAGGATCGCTTGAGCCCAGGAGTTCGAGGTTGCTGTGAGCTAGGCTGACGCCACGGCACTCACTCTAGCCAGGGCAACAGAGTGAGACTCTGTCTCAAAAAAAAAAAAAAAAAAATATTCAATAAAATGTAAAGGAAGTTCTTTACCTGGACTTTAAGTGGGGAGGCTACCTTAGAATAAAGCCCTTTTTATCACTTTACTCAGAGTGACGAAAGCTGCTAATAAGTAGTAAGGTGGGAAGGGGCCTGTACCTCTCATGACTAGGAGTTTCTCTTCCCGTCTACCCCCATCCTCATCTCCACGGGAACCAAACCTGCAAGAAAAATTACAGCAGTTTAGAGAGGGTTGATACTATTCATTCACCCATCCCAGCCAAGATTTTCCAGAACACTCCTGATTTCAAATATTCCATCCCATTGCCATGGAAATTCCAACTTTTGACATACAAACTCGACGGCCCTCTTGTATCTAAGAACAGCATAAGAACCCTTGGTATATACCACGTGTCTCAATTTGGACTTTAGGACATGAGAATCACCCAAGTGATTAATAAGTAAAACCTGAAACTTGGGAAGAGGCGACTGGACTGTTGAGGTCCATGGCGCTCTGTACTAATAAACAAGATCCCATTTCCCAAGAAATGATCAATTTGGTGTAGAAGTTATGAATTTGCTTAGAAAAGCAGGAGGCTCTCAAGTTTGAATCCAGGCCCAGTAGAAATTTGCTGAATTGAATTAAATTTAGCAAATGGCTGCTGCTGTTTTAGAGAGAGCAGACACGTGGAAGGGCCCTCTGCCTTCACTGCCTACAGACGAGGCTTGGCGGGCTGCCTTGAGCCCCACAGGGAGCAGCAGTTGATTTTCGCAGCACTCCTCCCAGGAGCCTGTGTCCTCTGGTGGTCCCGGCCAGTGTGGACAGGGGGCTTTGCTCTCCCAGAGGGAGCCAGCAGGACTCCCTCCCTCCCTCTTATCTCTGCAAGCACAGGCCGGGGGTGGGGGTGGCACTGAAGCGACTCCACTGCTGAGTGGGGAATGGGGGCCGGGAACTCGCCTGGAAGGCTTCATCTTATTAAAGGCAGGCGTTTCTTTAAGTGCAGAGAGATACTTTTTATATTTTGTAAGCAGATAGTAAGGCAAGATTAACTGGTGTCTTTTTGCTTCTGTTCCTTCCTGTATTCATTAGAGTTTTTGCTTTTACATTGCAGGTAAACTAAAAGATCTTGGGAACTTGGTTCTCCGACCTTTTGGACTCTCCACAGAAAATTTCCAGATCAAACAGGATTCCTCTACCGGCTCCTACTCCATCAATTTTGTTCAAAATCCAAATAATAACAGATAACAAAGATAACAGTAGCTTTAACAGCTGACTTGGAAATTGTGTGCTGCTTGCTGTTAGCGAGGGGAAGGCCCTGCAAATATTTAACTTCAAAAGCATCTCATCTAAAGAAAGGCTGTCCAGTAGAGCCCAGTGCTCCCTTTCCCTCTTGTTTTATGATCAGGGTAAAGTATACTTCCTGATAAAGTGAGTCTAATTTGATTTCCATTTGAAGGTGGTGTCTGTGGCAGTTGTGCCTGGTTCTGGGTGTCTTTTGTCCAGGAAGAAGCCCGCTTTCAAGGCTGACCTTGCTGAGCCACACAGACACACCAGCCAGGCAAAAGCCTCTCCTGAAGCCAGCAAACCTGTTGGTTGGGAGATCGCCCAGACGTGATGGACGATGACACAGGGTTCCTGCCTGCTGTCCCCTTCCCTGATCACACACGCTCAGGAGGCTGCTGTACGTGACCTCTTACATTTCCTGATTTCCCATTTCCCCTGTGGTAATAAAAGCTTTCTGTGACAGTCTGGGCTGGGTTGTAAATTTGGTCTCCCTAACGACAGCTAAAGCAGAAGACTTCTCTGGCTTTGGGAGCAGTATTGGTTTTAAGCAGGGTTACTGATTCTGAATTCCACAGATGGGCCCAAAGTTTTAGTTGCCACCTTGAAGATTTATCTTGAAGAGCTGACCATTCTACCATGTACTAGAATTCAGGAACTCCACCTCACAAGCTGTCTTGGGCCCCACCAGGTTTGTGTAGATAATTATGAAATCAGTGTTTTTGGCCAAGCATTAATCTTAGTAATTTCCACTTAAAATAGCTTCATTTAGGAATGGTGGAGTGTGAATCCCAGAATAAAGCCGTATTCGTTTAGACTGCGTGAACCCAGAGGTTTCAAAGAGAGACTCTTTTTTTTCTACTCATCCATTGATGCTAGTGAGAAGCTTTCAGTTGTTCTGATTTAAGTGTCAAAGGCAGTGACAGGCAGCAGTCATACTCCCAGCGTTAGGGCCTGTGCTGATTCTTTTGATCTGTTCCCAAAAGCCTCTTACAGTACATGGGTAGACAGGGAGGGGAGTGATGTGCGGTATTAACTCTGTGATTCGCCAAACCTGTCTCACAGATTGAAATGTAAGTTCATGCAGTTTACAAGGGGAAGGGGAAAGGGAGAAAGGGGTTAATTTTGCTTCACTATCTTTATATTAAATCTGGCATCAAGTCTTCCCAAAAAAGTTGTGTGTGGAGAATCACACAAGTTGTACCGAAACCTCAGCTGAAAGAGTACGGCTTGGTAGCCGTCTCATTCGCTTCCTGCGCAGCCAGCCTTGTGCCATAGCCGTGGTTCTCAAACTTTCTAATCTCAGGATCCCTCACACTCTTGAAGACTCTTTAAAGAACATTCCATTCATGTAGATTCTATTAATATGTACCGTATTAGAAATTAAGATAGGAAATTGTTATTTGGTTTAATCCCTTTAAACATTTCATGTTACATAAATATTTTTATGAAAAAAATCTTCCAAATCAAAGACATTTTGGTGAGAAGAATGATGAGATTGTACATTTCTGCAAATCTCTTTAATGTGTGGCTTGATAGAAGGCAGCAAGGCTCCCACATTGTCCGTGCTGTTTGTCCTGGTATCACACATCATGTCTGGGAGATTCAGCTGTGCACTCATGACAAAATGACAGTGAAAAAAGTAACTGTTTAGAATTACGGAAATAGTTTTGACCTTGTGGACACCTGAAAGGGTCTCAGGAACCTCTAGGGAACCCTGGCTACATTTTGAGAACTGCTTTGTCAGACTGACAAGATGCCAAACAAGGCCAACATTTGCGGGCTTCCAGTGAGTGGGCCAAGCCGTACATCTGGAAAGGAAAGGAAGAGATCTCAGCGTTGAGTTTGCTTAAGCCAAAGAGTTTTTATCTAGTACTGTTACTTCCCTGCTTCCAAAATTTGGACAAAAAGATTTCAAACCTTGTGGAAATGTTTGACCACAGGAAGATCCTGAGAGAGTTCAAAAGTAGGAAGTGTATAAGGAAGGAAGGTGGCCTATATTTGCCTACTACTGCTAGGATGTATGATTTTGAAGTTCATTGGTGATGCCTTCCTCCCCCGACCAAAAAAAAAAAGTATACCAGAATTTACTTTTAAGGTATCACACAATGACATTGTATGTATTTTTATTCCAACAATACTGCAATGGATCTTTTTTTTTTTTTTTGAGACAGAGTCTCTATCGCCCCAGGTAGAGAGAGTGCAGTAGTATCATTGTAGCTCACTACAACCTCAAACTCCTACGCTCAAGCAGTCCCCCTGCCTCAGCCTCCCAAGCAACTGGGTCTACAGGCGCGCACCACAATGCCTGGCTAATTTTTCTATTTTTGGTAGAGACGGGGTCTGATTTTTGCTCAGGCTGGTCTCGAATTCCTGAGCTTAAGCAATCCTCCTGCCTCGGCCTCCCAGAGTGCTAGGATTACAAGTGTGAGCCACCATGCCTGGCCCGAAATAATTTTTGATCTCCTTTTAGAATTGCCTTGAAGACTCTCAGACACATTCTTTAAAATACTGTGATCTATTGTTTCCCTATCTGCCTCCATGAATAGGCCAAGAGATTCTAGAAAGAAAGGGCCATATTTATGTTCTTAACAGCACTAGCACCTACCACTCCACTGGAGACTTAGTAAATTGGTATTAAAGGACATTCCACAAGAGGTGGTCTCAGTGTGAGCCACCATCACAATCCAAGTCTTCAAATTCTGCCCTTTTAGTGCCTTTTAGTTTTTAAAAATGTCTCTTTTGCTACTAACCAGTATCTGTTACCTCAGGACAAGTAGAAACTAGTCATTTTCTCCATAAATTTTAAGACACAGCAAGTATAATAATTCAAATGTCAGCTTAGAAGACTTCCTTGCTATTATTCACATTCCAACAAATGCAGTGGGAGGCAGTAAGAGACAACAGTTTGGTGTCACCTTATCAAGGCCAGTGAACTGTCTGCGACTTCCCTGGGTATTGACCAGAACAGCCTCCTCCACAGGGGTTTCCCGTCCTAGTTACTCAAGTAAACTTTCTGCAGTAGTGTTCTTATGTGGGTAAGTATGCAGTGCTAGCAAATTCGGAGGGCTCAGCTAGGGCTTCTCAACAGAGAATTCTGTGAGTGATCCCATGAAGCTCAAAAAGACATTCTGTAAAGAGGGTCACTTTAAGCCAATCGGGCCTATCTTGCACAGCCATGCAGAACGTCCTCAAATGTGGAACATTCAACTTGGCTTGTAAGCATCTGTCTCCTGGTTTTTAAGTTTTCATTTTTTGCGTCTTGGATATTTGCAAGGACTTGTCCTGAGACTCATCAGAAATCCCTAACTTGTCCTTTAGTTTCTGCCTCCCACCTCCAGAGCACATTTCCATCGAGTCTTGTGTGTTCTGTATATTCCCACACTGTATTTAACTACTTTTCCAACTGTCACATGAGCACCTTTTCCATTGCCTGGAGCCTCTGCAAAAGGCTTTCCCAGGAAATCAGACCTACTAACTACCACTAATTCATACTCCTGTGGTGGTTTCCTGTGTAGAGCACACTGTGGATTATTTCACCTTGCTCCAAGCTTGCCTCACTTCCCAAAATGCCACATCTCACTTTACAAGTAGTTGCTTGTAAGGAGTAGAGAACAGTATGCCATGTCCAGATGTGGAGGCTGGGGAGTGGCTGAGCTTACTTAGCTATGATCTTAGGAACATCACAGCACTGGGCCTACCTCTGAGCTTCAGCAAAATGACAAGACCTGACACACTGGCCCACCAGAGTTGCTCAAGTATAGTCAGATGTGAGAGTTTAGTCCATAAATGGAAGAGTCATACATAGTTCCTACATTTTGTGTGAAGGTAGGGGAGTGCTTTAGTTAATGCTGCTGCACTTAGTGATTATTTCTGGTGCTCCCTGAGTCTCTGAGCTGGCCTCCAAGACTACTGGTAAGTACCATTTCACTCAGCTTTCAAGCTAGAATCTAAGCGGACTCAGGAAGACCAGACACAGGTACTTTTTAGAGACATTTTATTGCATGAATTGATAGTGGGATGGGGAGCTAACAGCAGGTGTCAGATGTAAACCGAATTGGAAGATGTCTTTTTGCAAGGGTTGTCTGTCTGATCCCAAGAGCTAAGAAGGCCTACACAAATCCTGTCTTTTACAACCTGTTCCTCAAAACTTGGGATGTCAAAGGGGAAGGCTATGACAGCATGTCAAAGAGGAGGGCTGTTGAGGCAGCTGTGCAAGTTAATGGCTGCTTTAATCTCCTTGACAACAGTCTTTAAGAGGAAGAGTGTGATAACCCCCCACAAACAAAATGCAAATCTGAGATGCCACATAGGATGGCGTATATCTTGACAAGCCCCGTTTCCTGTTATCTGTGCTCTCCTAAGCTTGCCCTTGGCAAACATAAAAGGCTGGGGCTGCTGCAGCTTGGCCGCACTGCCCCCACCACAGACGGCTTTGTGAGCCTGGAGCCCCGTGGTCGTTGCCAGTCAGGCCCAAGGTCCCTTCCTGCTGCTTTCTGTGATCACTTCCCGTCTTTATCAAGCCTTTCCTTTCCCTACCTTCGTCCCCCCCGCCTCGTTATTTCTGTTTTTTTTTTTTTTGAGACAGAGTCTCGCTGTGTTGCCCAGGCTAGAGTGCTGTGGCGTCATCCTAGCTCACAGCAACCTCAGACTCCTGGGCTCAAGCGATCCTCCTGCCTCAGCCTCCCGAGTAGCTGGGACTACAGGCATGCGCCACCATGCCCG